ACGATTTTGAGTGTCCTACACTGGAAGAACGGTATGCATCATCACGTAAATAACGTGGTAACATACACCGACCTATAAGGTGTAGGACGACACAAAATCACCCCAATATACCAGAAGACTTGAATTAGCCAAGCAAGGCAAGTCTGAAACCTCGACCCCCACGAAGGAGGGTGTCGGCCCTTCCCGAATGACCCGCGAAGGGGCCAAACGAGGGTATAACAGAGCCACCAAGTCCGAAACCTCGACCCCCCCCGAAGGAGGGTGTCGGTTCTTCCTTCATGACCCGCGAGGGGATCAATCGGGGGTACAAAAATAAAAAAATTCCCACCCCCGAAAAAGGAAGCCGCTGGAGGGGAGGACGCTGTAGGAACTTCTTCCTCGCTAGGCTGTGAACGGGAGCGACCCCTAGGAAGTCGAGGACGACGTGGAGACATCAAAAACCTGCAATGAAAAGCAGCAAGTCAGGTGCAATATGAATACACGAAATATAAAAAGGGAAATTAAGAACTTGAACTAAAGTCCTATGAGTAAATAGGATTTTATAGTTGAAGTCTAATTAAACCTACAAATTTCATGCATGCAAAACAATGATTGTCATTTTCACGGTAAGTTTTGGTAAAATACCCAAAATACCCCTCGTGTTCAAGGCTAAATTCGGGTCAAGAACACGCTCGAGTTGGGTCATGGTCATCATATCTGATCATATAGCACCCCCGATACCCTACAATTTTGGTTAATTTTGCAAATAAGCCCTTTTGTAGAATTTAGCCAATTTTGCATATAGACCCCTTCACAAATTTCAATTTAACACCCACATATCCCTCTCGAAACTTTGATCGTGGTTTTGTGGTCTAAACTTCTGGGTTTTCAGCCTTAAATTTTCTACCCTTTTTACAAATAAGTCCCTCTAAAACATTTATAGGCAATTTTGCAAATAAACCCTCAACAATTTGTGATCTCTTTGCATGAAGCACACCTCAAAGTTGTGGCCAATTGTGTCAAACATCCAAGCCTCAAAATTCCAGCCCTTTTGCAAATAAGCCCCCCTATACTTTGTGGATTGCTCTTTTACAAATAACCCCCTCAAATGGTAGCCCTCTTTTTGCAAATAACCCCCTCAAATGGTAGCCCTCTTTTGCAAATAACCCCCTCAAGTTTCGGCCTCATTTTTGCACATATACCCTTCAAGTTTCGGCCTCATTTTTGCACATATACCCCTTCAAGTTTCGGCCTCATTTTTGCACATATACCCCTTCATATATATATATATATATATATATATATATATATTGCAATCAAAGATGAGAGAACCCATATCCCAATTTCGGCCAACAATATAACCCAATGCAAATTTTGGTTTTCCCCCAAATCAACAAATTGGGGTTTTGGATTTTGAAAATTTCAAAAGAGGGGAAATCAAATTGAAGTTGAGAGGATGAGAAGTTCTTACCAAAGTTTGGAGGAGTGAGGATGATGAAGCCCAAAATCCTCTAAACCCAACTTGCCTTGCTTGAATCCTTGGAGAAGAAGATCTTGGAGAAGAAGATGTGGAAAACCTTGAAGAAGATGGGTTGAAGGCTTGATGAGGGAGAGCTCTTGAGGAAAGAGGAGAGCTCAAAACCGAAAAAGGGGGGAGGTGGTTTCCTCTTGTTGGAGACCGAACAAAAAAAAAGAAAAGAGGAAAAAAAATGGGGACGGGTTGCTGGAAATGAAAAGAGGAAAGAAAAGAAGAGAGGAAAGAAAAGAAAGAGGAGATTGGGTTTGTAATGGGGATTATTTTTTGGTTGGACCAAATCCACTTGACCCGAACCGAACCCATATGAACCGGACCGGACCGGATTAAATCATTTTTTGATGGTTCACACGCGTATGAGGTGCAAAGTGTTGGCCCGAACGTGTAGAAAGACTTGGGGATAATTTATATACACTTTGATCCTTTTTTAGGATATTTTTACGACGTATTAAACACTCGTATTTATACTCCAATGAGAATACGAGTCTAAACTATTTCTCACAATTGACGGGAAGTTCCTGGAAAATATTATGTATAATATTCTTAAGGATAACCCGTCAACCTCCGACGGGTACACGAGGCTAAACTAATTCCCGAAACTCCCAGGAGTACACGAGTATAAACTGGTTCTCCTCAGGTTGATTCGAAACCCTAGGGTCAACGCCGGTCAACGCGTAACCCTAGGTCAACGCCAGTCAACGCGTTGCGACAAAAAGTCAATATTCGACGTTCGAAACCCTAGGGTCAACGCCGGTTAACGCGTAACCCTAGGTCAACGCCAGTCAACGCGTTGCGACCAAAAAAAGTCAACGTATGACGTTCGAAACCCTGGGGTCAACGCCGGTCAACGCGTAACCCTAGGTCAACGCCAGTCAACGCGTTGTGACAAAAAGTCAATATTCGACGTTCGAAACCCTAGGGTCAAAGCCGGTCAACGCGTAACCCTAGGTCAACGCCAGTCAACGCGTTGCGACAAAAAAAAGTCAACGTATGACGTTCGAAACCGTGGGGTCAACACCGGTCAACGCGTAACCCTAGGTCAACGCCAGTCAACGCGTTGCGACCAAAAAGTCAACATTCGACGTTCGAAACCCTAGGGTCAACGCCGGTCAACACGTAACCCTAGGTCAACGCCAGTCAACGCGTTGCGACAAGAAGTCAACATACGGTGATCTGAAACCCTAAGTCAGCACAATATGACGAAGATAGTCAGTTCAAAGTCAACTCAATGACACAGACTCGAGACTCCGACGACGGCCAAGCGATAAACGCAGCGCCGGAAGAACTTCGGTTATTCGTCAAAGCATCGAATAGACCGAAAATCGAAGGAGCCAAGAGTTAAAGCTAACTACAGGTCCTTTACACCAACTGAAGGACTGGACCAATCACATCCAAAGTATTCCAGCCTCTTCTATAAAAGAAACGAGTCCGGAACGCTTTGGAGGGGGTATCTGTAGGCATCGAAAATTGCCTATAGGTCTCCACGAATAGCTCAGTGTTAAAGAACGACAATGAACGTCACCATCTGGTTCACAGGAGTTCAATTGACGTCGGTGAACGTTTGAAGTGAACCGACGAACTACGTGAACTGACAGAATTTCAGAATAACGAAGGCACAGGCTAATCGAGAGCCCCGCGATGTTTACAAAAAGAACAACGCCTTTCGTGTCTCGGGGCTGATAGAACTCTTCGTCAGAATTCCAACACAATTCGAATCACTAAAATCCGAGTTCGGATGAAGAATTTACAGCGGAGTGTCTCGGATTTTTAGAGACACCCCAGGGGTGTCCTAGATTTTTGGGGACGCCCCAGGGGTGTCCTAGATTTTTGGGGATGCCCCAGGGGTGTCCTAGATTTTTGGGGACGCCCCAGGGGTGTCCTAGATTTTTGGGGATGCCCCAGGAGCGTCCTAGATTTTTGAGGACACCCCAGGGGTGTCGCCTATAAATAGAAGCCTTAGGCCTCACTTTTTGGGGATCTGGATTTTTGAAGAATTGGCGAAGCCCTGCTGGAGTGAAGAGTGATCGAGCACTTCAACACAAGAGAGTTCTTCATCAGATCTACATCACCTGCATCCGTTCCTTAGCATTACCCCTCGTCGGTAATCCTAAGAAGAGCAAATATCTCGCTTTATCCGAGATAGGCGCTCCAAGTTTCTAGATCTCCTCGCGGATCGACGAAGCTCTGCCCAATTTTTCTGGATCAGATCTAATTGCCAGGTAGTCCACGGATATCGACGTCCCCGTCACAGGCTAAAGACCCACGCAAGCAAGAGACGATAAACGGATCTTGTGTTTATTTTCAAGAAAGTTGTAATTTTTATTTTCGTTATTTGAATTCATTTGTAACGTTTGAAGTTTTAATGAAATCAATGATGAAGGCAACTTTTGACGAAAACACTTGGGGCCAGGGTTGGGGCGACCGAGAGCGGGATCTTCTATCTTCTTTGGTTAGAGTAGGGTTGTTTGTGTCGAAAGTTGATTTATTCATTGCGGTATTCATTACAACTTCAGTCGTTATAAAAAAAAATATATAGTCTTTTTATAAGACTCTTACACAATAAAAATAAAAATTACAACTCTCGTCAAAACAAACGCAGTGAGATCGTTTATCGGTCTTTTGCTTATGCGGGATCTTTGCCTGTGTTAGGGATTTTGATATCCATGGATCGCCTTAGATCTGGATCCGGTTGATGGAAAATTAAGTAGAGCTTCGTCTTCACTGAGGGAGTATTTGATTGAAGCACTAAAATCGACCAAATAAAATCAGTAGCTCTTCTCGAGATTAAGACAAAGCCTAATCTCAAGGAATAGACATACGGGCTTCAGATCCTTCTAATAGCTCCTTCTTTATGCTGGAGTTCGCTGGGATCTCGCTAACCCTCGCTGAAATTCGTGACTCTTGGCTCTGGAATTTGACAGCACCTCCTCGTCTTGATAATAAATCGTCCCCCTGAAAGGAGGCCCTAAGCTTGTATTTATAGGGCTCCAGGTGCGGGTATGTGGATGAAAACGAGTGATTTGACCTTATCTTCAGTCAATAATGGTCTAACCATGTTTGTAGATAATATCTAGGCAGTTAAGAACCTCTAGAATAGATAAATCCCGAGAAAACTACTCAAAACTATTGAAAAACGTGTCCGGAGGTCAAACCTGTGCGAAACACCCCGCTGACCCGCACCTGGACAAAATTCACAAGCGGTGAGTGATGGGGCTGAAGTCGTAAAATTTCCCTCAGGATGGACAAAATTCAGCATTTTTTTCAACTCCCCTATTGGAAAGAGTTAAAAATACGTCACAACTTGGACGTTATGCACATTGAAAAAAATATTTGTGATAATCTTTTGTCCACACTGTTGCAAGATGCTAATAAATCAAAGGATGATCTACGTGCTCGTCAAGATCTAACTACTTTGAACATTAGAGAGGAACTGCAGCAAAAAATTATCAGAAATGATAGATTAGAATTGCCTGCGTCTCGTATTACGATGCCGAAAGTTGAGATGCAAATATTTTGTCAAGTACTCAAATCAATAAAGTTACCAGAGGGTTACTCCGTAAACATATCGAACAATGTCCAGGTGCAAGAAAGGAAAATATTAGGACTTAAAACTCATGATTATCACGTGCTTCTTCATCAACTACTACCTGTGGCACTACGCAGTACTATGCAGGATAAAAAAACAGTGAATGTTATTATTGATTTTTGTGGATTTTTCAAAAAGCTTTGTTCTAAAGTTATAGATGATCGTGACTTTGAGAAACTTGGAGAAATTATTTCAGAAAAAATGTGTGAAATGGAGATGCTCTTTCCTCCATCTTATTTCACAATAATGGTTCATCTTACACAACATCTTGCGGAGGAGGCTGCAATAGCAGGACCAGTCCATTATCGTTGGATGTATCCAATAGAGAGGTTAGTATTTAGATACTTTTAATCGTTACCTATCAATATTTATATCTATTAAATGTTAATATCTTTACATATATATCTGATTAATTATCATTTTTAGATATTTGGGTTCAATGAAGCGCCAATTGCGTAATAGAGCTCGACCAGAAGGTTCAATAGCTGAAAGTTACGTGAGAACCGAGTGTCTCTTATTTGCCTCTCGTTATATGAGAGGGGAACAAACTAAAATTCAAGCACCTGTTGATAATAAGGATAACACAGTTCTCTATCCTCGCGGGTTGAACAAAAATTATTCTAACATATTGCTAGATCAAGCTCATGCATACGTAGTAAATAATCTTAAAATCTTCTCGGAGTACCGAAGGTAAAATATCTAAAAAGAGTTTTGAATACCATTTAATCTTTAATATTTATTTTGACAATAATAAATAAATTTATTGCATTAATAGGCAACATCAGGAAAAACTTAAGAATGAAGTTACCGGTAGTACAGCTGTATATGACATTAAAGAAAGGCATATGAAGGAATTCCCTGCTTGGTTGAAGAATGAAGTAAGTATTATTAAATTTAGCAATATTTGTATGTTTTTTGATGAAAAAACTTTGAATTATTGTTTTAATAGTTTTCTTATTTTTTATATTTAGATCCAGGAACAACTTGTCCTTAATAATCAAATATCAAAAGAAGTGAAGGTTCACGCGAAGCGGCCTTACTATGCTGTATGTCAATATGGTGGGTATCGTGTTAACGGTTATAAATTTCACACAATGGAGGTTGATGATACAAAGGTCACCCAGAATAGTGGTGTCATGGCTACCTTCTCACGAGAATGTTTCTCAAACAGAAGAGATCAGAATCCTATTGAAAATAATATAACATATTATGGAATGTTGGAAGATGTGGTGGAGATATTCTACGGCTATGGTGGTCCAAATGAACATAAATACATGATGTTCATGATTCGTTGGTGTTTTGCAAAGACTCAAAAGGATCCCTTTGGATTTACAATTGTCAATCTCGATAAAGAAATTGATAGTGATGAAAAATTCATGTTTGCATCTCAGGTGGGACAATGTTTCTATGTGAAAGATCCTGCAGTTAAAGACGAGTGGGTTGTCCTGAACAAGGACTCTAGGGCTTATATTCAACCTTCTATCAATGAAGATGGTGACAAGAGCTATATAAACAACTTCAATGAGCCAAATGCATCGATCGATGAATTCTCGTACCCTCAAAACGTAGTGTTTGATACGGATGCTCCAACAATTCGGACAGACATTCCAAATATTGCCACAGACATTAATAGGAGCTAAACAACAATTATTTGTAATCGAGTCTTCATGTAACTTTTTTTAGTTTGCAAATTGTAAAATGAAAACTTTAATATCACTGCGATGTATCTCAATTACCTTTTGGACGATATAAATATGTAATATCTTATTTTGTATATTCAGCTTGCAGATGCCTACAAACTTGATGTGAAATGAAAAATTTAGTAACGCAACAATACATATTGTTTTTATTTTCGCCAAGCTAATTTGCATCTATGTTATATTAATTTGTATGTTTATTCAACTTGCAGATGTCTAAAAATATTAACAGGAGGTTATTCGAAGCTAACCCCAGTCAAGACCAATCCACTGAGGAAGAGCCTCCGAGTTCAGGAGAGATGTCAGGTATAACTTAGTTTAACTTACGTATTTTTATTCATGATATATGCACAATGATAATTTATTTGTTTTATTTTTATAGGTGAGGGTGAGGAAGAGCCGACTCACATACCATTATATGCAGATCCTCCAGTTATACTTCGAGCATACATTCCTGGGATTGAGCACGGGCCCTTACCAGCATGTGCAGAGGGGTACAAACTCAAGCAGACTGAAAAATACATGCTTGCGAAAAAAAGATTGGATGAATGGGCCCCACAGATTGATGAGATTTTATCTGATGCAAAAAATGAAATCAGACAAAGATTTGGTGAGTTTGATCAAAAACATAATCAATTCCGAGTCTATTAATAAAAAAACATAATCAATTCTAAGAGCTTAAGATTGATTAAATAAAAGTGTTGATATATCTATTATTTCTTTTTTGTAGGAGAAAAACTTTACCAGAAGAAAGGACGCCAAGGAAGTGACTTTAAAAAAAAAGTTATCACCGGATGGTTTTCGAGCAATTGTGAGATGGGGACATAATGAGATTCCAACCGGACAATGGGCTAATAACTTCAGCTCATACCTTGGATATTTGATACAGAGGAGTGATAATGTGAATCCCTATTACGAGGCTTGGGAGCAGCCATTTCATGTCCTGGAGAGTATATATCGAGATTGTTGGGTAAATTCTTATATTTAGCACAATTATTTTTCAATTCTATTAATTGTCCATGCTTAACTATATTTTATTTTTTAGAGATATTTCAACATCGAAGACAATCCCGTAGGGTGGGAATTTTTATTTGGATACCAGGGAAAGTTCAAGCATTCTCTTCGGGAGTGGAGACATGAGATAAAGAAGAAATGCTTTGATTGTTTCACTCACAACTGGGAGAGGATATACAAGCAAGATAAGAGGGTTGAGCCTGAGTACTTAGCTGCACTTATAATATTGTGGGGCCAAGAGGAGCACCAGATAAATATGTATAGTAGTTAATTATCATCAAGTTATTTATCTGAAACTAGTGATATATTCCATTGTATATCATACCATGCACTAAAATTCTCTTTGTTCATGTTGAAGGAAAAATGTAGGAGAAATAAACTTAATCGATGGAAAAAAGATTATGATCATCATACGGGGACTACTTCATTTGCCCAGATTGAGGATCAATTTTGTAGGACAACGGTATAAAGTCTTTTAATAATCATTGTATATTCTCTCTGCTTCTTAGAATATTTGATAAATAAAACTAATAAATATATTTTTAAATCTCAGAATGCTCCCTTTATCCCACTACCAGAACTGCACAGGAGAACGATGGTTCAATTTAAGAAGGGGTACGATGAAGATGAGACTAAGAAACAAAAGCTAGAATTGGCCAAGAAAATGCAGGTTAACTAATTATCTTAGCTCTTATTAGCCTGTTATCATGTTGGGAATTTATTGTTTGCACTCTTCTTTTGGTCATCTTATTAGCCGAGTTACTATGACCCATTCGTATGAGGGGCTTGCTTGTTAGGATATAAAAAGCTGTTTATTTTCATTTATGCACTAGAGGATGTAGTAGAAACTGCTATAAGATATTGATTTGTATAAATCTAAGTTTAGATAATGTCAAGCATTTTCTCAAGTTGAAGAGCAAAGTCATGTCCCTTTTGCAAAGTCTTAAAACTGTATGATAGGCCAAAAAAGTAGCAGTCATGTAATCATTATATGTTCTATATAATTATTTATTAGAGATAATAGCTTCAACTCTTGAATGCATGTAGATGTGTATGTATGCATCTATATGAAATCTCTGTTTATTATAAGAATTAAACACACTGACACACATATGCATACATACGCACACATCACACACACACACACACACACACACACACACACATACACACATATGCATACACCCGCGTTACAACATTAAAACGCTGGGGTTGGACCCGCGTTTTTCAATGCCCAGCGGATACCCAACTCCACGTCTCTAGTCTAAAATGCGGAGTTAGGGTCCTGAATGCCAACGTGGGCGTTTGACTCGTTCAAACACAAGCTGAACGGTTGTAGGAACCGTTTTCCCTCCATAATCTGAGGGATTTCTGCCCCACTTAGGAACGAATTAAGGGGGGGGGGTTACACCCCTCTCAAACCCATTATGGAGAGAATTAAGGGGGCGGTTACACCCCTTAATTCCCTATAAATATGGGTAAACTCAATGGAGTTCAGGCTGGCATTTTTTGGATCTGAGAGTTGGCAGCGGTCTGTTGGAACTTCTTGGCAGCAAAGGGGGAGATCTTGGAGCATCATAGATTGAGAGATCGGCATTCATCCTTTGGAGCATTCCTTGAAGCCTTCGGCCTTGGCTTGAGAATCGATTCTCGGTTCAAATCAACTCTTTTTCAAGAGTTTAAACTCGTTCAGAGTTATCAACTCATTCAGAGTTCTAGAACTTACCACGCAAGTTCTCCACAACGTCAAATCGTGAGGAGAAGACATCGTTCTAGTGAATCAAGATATTCGGATCGTCAACGGAAAGCAAATTCGACGCAAGCATTCGAAGGAGGCACTCCATCGCTACCGAGAAGAACCCAGTTTTAAACAAAGGGGAGAACCAAATTCGTTCTCCTCTCTTTTGTAATCAGAATCTAATTGTAATCGATTTTGAGAGAATACAGATCAATTTTTCTTTCGTTTCTTTTACATCGAATTTTTCCACCGAATAGTACTTCCGATGATTAAGTCAGTTGGTGAACTTGGGTGGGGTGAAGGAAGAACAGTGTGTTCTTCTCTTTGTATAGTATGTGCTTTTTGGGGGTTTTTGATTGCGAAAAACTGAACCTCCTTTATGGAGAATAGTGTCTGTATTTATAGAGAAGGCCAAGGGCAAATTAGTCACTTCATGAGTGTATGGTAAAATGACGGTGAGGAGTGAGCTAGAGGCTGAGTCACCCTTTGCTTCATATGTGTTGGTTTGTGAGTGATGAGAGGTCACTTCAACAATATTAGGAATCAGCAGCCGACGACGCTTGTCAGTGAGTGACGGGAGGTCAATTCAGCGATACGGGGAACCAACAGACGACGAGGCTTCAGATGGCTGAGAATGGAAAAATAATGATGATCATCTAAGGTTAAATATTGTTAAGTAATATTTCAATTTGTCCTTGGGAGGAGTGCCGGCTAACGCTGGGTGGTAATCCTTTGACATGAAAAGGATCGACTGAGTCCGCTCATCAAGTCGCCTTTGAGGAATGATACTAACCCGACTGGGGGAGTGACGGCTCCCGGGATTGCATATTTGCGAAGGGTAGGGGACATCCTATAACAAGTCCATAGATGGATTTTCTTAATTTACAAACCACATTTTTAGGGTCTCCTAACACAAAGTTTTCTGGTTGTACCATATAGATCATCTCATCAATGTCACCATTGAGAAATGAAGTCTTAACATCCATCTGATATAACTCAAGATCAAAATGTACAATAAGCGTCATGATTGTTCTAAAAGAGTCTTTTAATGAAACTGGTGAGAAAGTCTCTGTATAATCAATGTCTTCCATTTGAGTAAAGCCTTTAGCTACAAGACATCCCTTATACCTTTCCACATTACCATTTGTATCCCTCTTGGTTTTAAATATCCATTTACAACCAATTGGTTTTGCACTTTCTGGCAATAAGACAAGTTCCCGGACCTTATTGTCTTGTATAGATCTGTACTCTTTATTCATGACATCAATCCACTTTTGAGAGTTAGAACTTTTAATGACCTGAAGAAAGTTGATTGGATCATTTTCTAACATTCTATTATTTTCCTCGTGTTCTTGGAGAAATACAATATAACCATTCGGAATAGCATTTCTCCTTTCTTGCATGGATCTCCTTAATGACACTAGTTTTTGAGGTTGTTCTTCTGAAACAGTGAGTTGTTCAACATTATCTTCTTGAGGTTCCGAATTTACTTCTTGATCAATAACAGGTATATGAACCAGAATATTGTTAAAAGTAACTGTATGGATTGGGTTTGAAGCCAATTCCTCCTTAAAAAAACAATGTCTTCCCCAAATTCAACATCCTCAAAGAATGTTGATGTTCCTGTCTCAAAAATATTTCTAAGTGTGAGATCATAAAATGTATAGCCCCTAGAGTGTTTAGAATACCCAATAAAATAGCTGCTAACTATTTTAGAGTCCAATTTCTTTTTATTCGGCCTATAAGGTCTTATCTCAGCTAGACATTCCCAAATATGTAAGTGCTTTAAAGTGGGCTTTCGACCAGTCCAAAGCTCATAATGTATTTTAGCAACTGTTTTACTCGGTACTCTGTTCAGAATGTAAGCTGTTGTCTTTAGTATTTCACCCCAGAGTAACTCTGGTAAAGAAGAATAAACAATCATACTTCTTACTATATCCTTAAGAGTCATGATTCATTTGCACCTAATCTCTAAACTTTGGTCTGTTTCCCTTGATACATTCAACATATATGTCAAAATCTAAAAAAACAAGGGAATCCAAAATGCTATCAGACACAAGACGCTCAACTCTACCTTTTGAGACATGACCCAAGTGCTTATGCTTTAGTATCACCAAATTTTCCTTATTTAATTTACGCTTAGTACCAAATGAATCCACATGCAAGGTTTCATTATAAGAAGTAATTATAT